CCAGCGGGGACAGGCGTGGCCGGGCGGTCCGGTGCGTGGTGCGTGGGTCCGGCTTTCGGTGACTAGACGGTCTGCGGGGACACCCGGTCCTCCGGGCCTTTTCAGTCCCCTCCCCCTCGCCTCCGCAGCCCTCTCCGCCAGCGCTTGGGCTCGAGCCCGCGACCTGTGCGGACGCCCCTCCTTCAGGTATTCGCCCTGGCCGCGTTGGTATCACCCCCAACCTCGGGCGCCCTCCCTCTCGTCCCCCCACCTTCCCTCCACGTCGCAGGTCTCCGCTTACACCGCTTGCGCCCTAGTTCCCTCCCAGCTCCCCGGCGTGCCCCAATCTCTGCGCCCCCTCCCGCGAGCCTCCTGCCCCGGTTTCTCGCCCTTTCCACCCCTCCCCCTCCTTCCCATCCACTCCCCCCAGCTTCTGCCTCTTCCCTCTCTGTCCATCTTCTACCCCCTTCTGTTCTCGGTTCCCCATCCTCTGCCACCCTCCCAGCCCCTTCCCTCTCCCAGCCGCATCCTGGAACTAAGTCTTTGCAAAAGTACAGGATAAATGTCACGGTGGAAAGTGCCCGGCTTGATCTTTTGCTATTTTCCCTAATTGCATAATTGCTGCACATGGTGTCTCTCCTGGTGAGTGCCGAGTCTGGCTTCACCGCCAACGCTGCACACCCGTGGCCCGGCAGGAGAAGACCTTGTTCGGTGTGTTTGTGTATCCACTGGTGTGGAGTGTGTTGTCTTGGTCTTTTGTGAAGCCTAGCTCCTGTCACACTTTGGAGCCAAAGCCCATTTTTTTCTCGTCTCTTCTCTGCAGCCCCCACTGGCCTGGTTTGAAACTGGATTCTCCCCCCCCACCCCCCGCTCCCCGCGCCTCTCTTCTCTCATAATGTTTTGATCCTTTTGCCCTTTACCATTTCTAATGAAGATAAAGCGTAGCTTCTTGTGGCTTTTTCCCCCTCACGACCAACCAGAAATGTCCAATCCATCTTCCCTTAAGGAAATTAAGGCCGCTTTAGAAAGACATCATCCTGTGCTCGGTGGCTGTTAGACCTATTTGCATGTTTTCAAGATTCATCGTTTTGTATTGTGTATACTTGAGAGTCTACTCAAATATTTTTATTTAAAAGTACAAAGGGTTTACCTTCAGATTATCTCGTGCTTCAGAAAGATTTTAAGCTCTTAGTTTTTTAGCCTTGGTTCTTCAAAAAGTATGTTTTGAATATGTGATAATTTAGTCTGGACCTGGGAATCTAAATATTTATGTTTACTCAAACAGTTTGGGTACTCCTTGGTATATGGGCAGTTGCTTATGATGGAGGGTTTTCATATACTGTCATATCCCATTTTATCTCCCCCAGGACATAACGCCTTTTCCTTAAAAATCAGGTGTTCCACTATTATTTCCTGCATAAATATCTTTACACATAAATGGAAAGCTGGATCTTGCTAGATGCTGTGTATGTAATATAAATTATTTTATTTCACATTTTAGAAGAGTTTAGAAACGTGAGTAGGAAGACATAGCAAGATATCAAATGACAGAATTAAGCGTTTTCCTGTTGTAAAAGCTCGAGTGGACATTTGCTTTTGCAGTTTTATACCACAAGATACAGTTATAAGGCTTATCTGGACAGTAATCCAGATTTATGGAGGGAGTATAGTTGCTTTTATTGTATCAGTATATAACCAAATCATTTCATTTTTATGGAACATATGAGTTTCCTTCACTACATGTTGCTAATTTCCAGGACTGTAATTACACCATAGAGTATATAGCTAATACAGGCTTAGATAATTTGTGTGTTAAAGAAGGAACAATATCTAAACTCTTAATATAACATGTTTGAAGAAAGCTTTACTATTTTATGTTTAGAAACCAAGTTTTACTTTGAGTCCAAAGTAAAAATATAAATTGAAATATCTTTGAAACTGTCATTGATGAGTAGCTCTGCTTATAAGCCTGGGATTTAAATTTAGCTTCCCTCTAGATCAGATGATTGGATCAAATTAGCTGTTTAGAAATTAATCTTGAAGATAATTTTAAAATATTCCTTTTGAAGATAACATTTAGAGAGTTTTAATTCAGGAATTCACGTGTACTTTAGGAAAACAAAACAGCAGCTTATAACTAATTGAAACACTCATGGACTATTTTTCTTCATAAAAATTAGTTGCCATTTGAGTGGTACAATAATTTTCTTCCAATACTTTTCATGTAATTAGGCATTTGAAAAACAAAACCAGCCTTACTCTTGATATTTGGAAAAGATATGAAAACTTTGTTTCTGAAAGTTTCTATAGTGGTTATTAGTGGCCTCAGATGAATTTATTATCCCTAAGTTAAGATTTGGATGAAATAAAATATCTTAGGTCGTAATTGGAATTAATTTTTGTTTGTTGTGAAACTATAGAAAGTATACATCTATTTGGGTATTTTAAATAATGTTTTTAATAGTTCTCTAGTGAGACTAATTTTAGTCCTCTGATATTCTGGAGCAGTTTATGAAACTCGGGTTCTTATAGCTCAGTTTACATCATTGAATAGTCTTTTAAGTAATTATATATTTATGGCATTATTAGTATATAAATGCACACAAATAAGAATATTAAGAATGTGTCATATAACTAATGAAATATACAACTGAAACTAGGCACAGTTTATTAAACTGAAGCTCCAGCTTTAGTAACAATTTTATTTCATTTGTTTCCATGTATTTGTCATGTAAGGGATTGCTTTTGGTTAAGATGTATAAAATGATTTCTCACTCATTTCTTAAAATATTGCCAGCAGCATTTTGCTACATGCTAGGACCTTTCCCTGAGAATTGTTCTCTCACTCTCATGCACATCTGCTCTATCTAAATGCTCTTATGTACATACTTAGAAGATTTTAAACTTATATATTTTAACTGAAAGAAGTTAGCTGGAAAAAAAAATGTTGAATCCAAGGATGAGAATTAAAATGAAATAAAAATGAAAAAAAAGCAAGAAATATGTTAGGACTGTTAGAGCTAGACATGAAACATACTGATATAAAATTTCAGTATTCTATTAAGTGACTTTAGTGCTCATAAAAGATGTCACAGCTGTGGAGACTGATGCTCTCCATTTACAGAGTAGGTAGGAAAGCAGTCAGATTTCCCTGTTAGTGTGTTTCAGAGCTGTTTGGGGAGACCTATTTTTGTTTGGCTTGGGGAAAGGGAGATGTTCAGGTTGAGTGGGGGAGGGGGCAGTGGTGATGCGTTTACATGATATTTCCTTGAAGGCATTCATTTTCTATGAATCTTTACCTCTCTGAGCTTTCCGATTCTTCCATTAGCAAGCTACAAGTTAAATCTTTGGTGATGATAAATTTTCATGCTTGTCAACTAGCTATGCATTTGGACTAATTACAGTAATAAAAAACAGGGCTTTATTTAAGGTATCTTTTTTTTTTACATATTGTTATTCTTGATCATATCAAAAACGATATAAAAAATAATGTATCTTTTTCAAAAGGAACTTGTTCTATTTGTGAGTTTTAAAGGTATATTTTGTGTTAAGGTCACTTCTTAAAGGTACATAGTTCTGTTTTTTAAAGAAGAGATGCCTGAGAAGGTAACTCTACGCTGCTGAAAGTGGTTTTTAAGTGACAGAAACATGGTGAGCACAGGGCCCTTTAGAGTTTAGGCATCCGTTTTGTCAGTTTGGTTTTGGATTCATCAGTACACTTGAAACTAGTAGTTGGGTCATGAGGGATGTATTCACAGTAATTAAGCCCAGAAATTGATTATGATAGAATGACAAATGAGAGGGGTTATCCCTTTCACTTACTGCAATTTTTTGTGTCTGCTATCCAGCGTATAACAGCTACCTGTGTATTAATGTATTGAGGAAATTGAGTTGGTAATCAGAGCTGCTTGGGGAGCATGAACTCAGCAAAGGGAATTTGAAAGCCTTGAAGGATATTTCATTCAGACTAGGAGGAAGAAAAGAATCCTTCAATACAGTCTCCATCTCTTGTGAAACATGTTTCTTGGTATATTGCTGGATCAATGCTGACACTGTCATACAGTACAGTTTTTATTTGGAATTATGCAGGCTTTGTGTTATCACAAAGGTTACTGAAAACAGTTGACTGGTCGAGAGGATTTTAACCTTAGCCTAGTCCTGAGGATATGTTTATTGGATATGGATGGGAAAGTGTCCCTTATTTCTCTGTTCCTGCGGCTGTTTTCACTCACCTCTGTTATAGCATATAGCAAGTTGGTTTACCCACTACCCCAAATTTCTCATGCTTAGGAGACCAAAGTGTCTGGTGGAGAGTAGGCCCTCACTTTTTTTTTTTGGTACCAACTTTATTGACATGTAATTCACATACTATAAAATTCATCCTTTTAAAATGTATAATTCGGTCGTTTTTAGAATACTTATAGTTGTGTAACATCACTATTACATAATTTCAGAATATTTTCATCAACCCCAAAAGGAAACTTTATACCTATTAACAGTCCTTCCTCATTCTTCCTTTACTCTTAGTCCCTGGCAACCACTTACTGACCTTTCTGTCTCTGTCTCTGCCTATTGTGGACATTCATATAAATGGAATCACACAGTTTATGGACCCTTGTGACTGGCTTATTTCACTTAGCATAATGTTTTCAAAGTGCACCCATGTTGTAGCATATAAATGCTGTATTTCATTCCTTTATATGGTTGAATAATATTCATTGTGTGGATATACCACATTGCTTTATCCATTTTGTCAGTGGACATTTGAGTTGTTTCCTCTTTTTGGCTTTGTGAATAATGTTGCTGTGAACATTTCGTGTATATATTTTGTATGTTTTTATTTCTCTTCTCAGTACATTTTGAGTGGATGAAAGAAGTATTTTGGCAATTCCTAGAGCTATTTTGTAAATGACCAAGTTATTCCTTTTATACTAGTTTTGCTTGTTCTATTTTGAGGCTCATTTTTTCTCTATTCTCGAGGTACCTTACTCTAGTTCTCCCACAACTGAATAAATGTTTTTTGTTGTTTCTTTAATCTAGGATCTAAAATGTCCACTGAGGCACAAAGAGTTGATGACAGTCCAAGCACTAGTGGAGGAAGTTCTGATGGAGATCAACGTGAAACTGTTCAGCAAGAACCAGAAAGAGAACAAGTTCAGCCCAAGAAAAAGGAGGGGAAAATATCCAGCAAAACAGCTGCTAAATTGTCAACTAGTGCTAAAAGGTACCTTAGTAATTGTAATCTTTTTATTTTTTGAATCAATTTATCATCTTAAGTTCTACTTTTCTGTTGCAGTTAATTGTTTTTCTGGGGTGTGAACCATGAGGTTCATGAATTTTTTTCTTCAAGATTATTTCTTTTACATGGTTTTAATTGTAGGCAATATGAATTTTTTGGTATTTAATATCAGTTAAACAGCATGGCAGATTAATAAAGTACATATCGCGTGTGTGTCTGTATTTATGATTAGGTGAACATATACAGGAAAATGCATGTAAAAATGTATTGATTTGATTTATACTTACTTGATTATAAACATTTTATTTTGTTTAGTAACATAGAATAGAGAGCAGGACTCTTAAAATAATTACTGAATGATAGCATTTTTTCTACTGCTCCGTGTTAGAAAAGTGAGAAATGCTGGTGTTTATAACAGATTCATCTTGGTTTCATTATATTAGGCAGTGGGTCAGTCTTGATCCAGATTTTCTTTTTCTCTAGAAAATAGATAGATCTGGAAGGTGGATATTTGAATGATTCTGTATTGCCACATCAATTGCTTATGATCATTGACATGTCATCAGACTCAGCATAGGCAATCTGCTTGAATATTGTTACATTATTGAATATCTCTTGGAAAATAGTTTAAAGGTAAATTAAATTTAGCAGAGTCCTGATTCTGTGATTTAATGTTCTTGTTTTGCTCTAATACCTTTCATTATATCAAATAGGAAGTATAAATAAATGCAGTCTAAGTTTTAGGCATTGTGGGTTGTCTGAATGCTGAATGATAGCTTTATATTTTATTGGAGAGTGTGGATTCAAGAAAACTCCTTTCCCAAAGATCAAAAACAATTATGATCTAGTAGACCTTGTTCCTCTCTGGCCCGGTCAGTCTTCAGGATTGGGGCTAACCAACTCAGGCCTCTTGTGAGACATGACTTTCTAGGGAGAGATGTTGGAGTGATGGCAAGTGATCAGCAACCCATTCCCAGAGACTAGAGTAGTTAGTTTCCCCTTCCCAGAAGTGTATTGCTGATCCTTGGCCTTTGTTGAAGGAGTTGTGTGAAAGTCAGATAGCCTTGAACTTTAAACCTTTAAACCACCATACAGAACTTGCTAGTGTGGGGAAGAGGATTTAGTTAGTTTTTGCTATCACACCTCAAGTCCAGAGAGCCTCACTTGGCTGACCCTAACCCTCTGCCACCTGGCCACAACACAAAATGACCTGCTGCTAAGAAATGGAGGGTGGAATTAGCATGGATAAGAAAGATGGGAATGGGGAAAATATGACATTTAGATTAAAGAAAATTGGGGCGGGGGGGATGGGTAAGAGATATTCAAGTACAGATTGTGGCCCTATGTAAATGAAGAAACTAATTTAGTCCTCAGCTTCTAATAGTGAGGGTTTTTAAAGGGCCTCTTCAGCTTATCAGAAGGGGAGAGGATGGGCTGGCCAGGTCTGTGGGGCATAGAATCTGGAGAGTGCTTCTGCCAGTCCGAGCTCTGTTTTCCTATGACTGCTAATTAGCAAAGACTCCTGCCTGCCTTTGTGAGACCTTGCCTTTTTCCTGGCTGGGAGTGACACCATAAATACTTCAAATTCATATTTATTGGGCAAATAGAGAGTGAACTGTATAATGTGTGAAAGTGAGGATGAATTTTTTCAGGTACATGGGTCGTCTTTTACTTCATTTTATTACAGTGTTTACAAAGTATAGGTTATATATTCAAACCGACTTTTCCTTCCTCCCCCTCTTTAAATAGAGGATAAAACCTAGTTTGAGATAGTATGGGTGTGTGCCCGATTGTCACTTAATAGAAATTGGTATTATTATATTGAGTTGCTTCTTGCCTGAAAGAATCCCTTTGTTGACAAATTCATTGAATTAATCTGTGATTTTCAAATTGTGATTTGTGACCTTCCTCTAGAAGGTCCTGGATGGTTTATGAATGACAGCGTCTGAAGTGACTTAGTCATTTATCATTTGTTTTAACTATAAAAATGCTGTTTCACTGTTAATTTTTTAAGTTAAAAAAAAAAAAAAAAAGCTTAGTTCTTCTCCCTCTTCTTCCCTAAATCTAGGTGATGGTAAAGTTATCATTTTCCATCTCTGCTTAAGTTGTTAGAACTGGGGAAAAATTTGAGAATCTTAAGGGTAGGGACCTATATATCTTTATAAATCACCATTGTGTCCACAGTGCCTAATATAGTAGGGTTATAATATTTACTGGTTGTCTTAGAGTTTTGAGTTTATTTTAGGAATTGGATCTTCCATAGATATTAGGATTCAAGTACTAATGTGTTCAGAAGATTCAGTTAGAGGTAGTTTCAAAATAAAACTCTTATTTATACTTTATTATTCAATTGTTCTTTATTCAGATGAGAAGTCTTTTCTAAATAGCGTCATTTTATGAGATGATTAATCAGAAGTAGTGTAGAGCTTGGACTCTAGAGATAGGATCTGGATTTGAGTCTAGGTTCTGGCATTTAGTAGCCTGGTGATCTTCGATACTTAATTTAACATTTCTAAGCCTCAGTGTCCTCTTCTGTAAAATGGACATAATAATGGTACCATCTTCACAGGGCCATTGTGAGGACTAAATGTGATAAAACATTTATTTCACGCATAGATATCACACACTAACACTGTCATTTAGACTTTGTGCCAGTTAAAGTGCACAATACTATTTTTCAAGCCCATTCAATAAATTTTAGGAAAATGAGGTATATGTTAACCTCTGGGGACTTAATGCTGTTGTTAAATTAGAAACACTTAAATGCTATAATTATATACATTTTATAGTAACTCAAGGAGAATACTTTGCACAGAGATGCTCAATTGAATTAAATATACTGTAATTATAAAATTAATAATTTGGTGTAGAAACATGTTTCTTGAAAAAAATCTCAGTTTTCAGGTACTACAGAAAAGTGATGTAGGATACAAAAATCATTTAAGTGGGTATTTTATTTAAACGATTGTATAAATTAATTTGTCTTTTTTAGAGTTAAGGGGAAGATTATAGTTATATCCTTGATGCATTTTTGGCAAGAATTTGTTTAAGAAATTGGTATGTTTTTATCACAGTCTGTTCTCTTGATAATGTCTATATCACTTTTGTTATATTTGCATGTATGTAGTTAGACTATGTCTGCAGTGACAGATTTTGATGATATTATTAAATTTACTAATCAATTCCATAAAACGTATTTCGAGCTCTTCATTGAATTGACTACTGCTTCTTTTATGTGTTGACAGATTTATAAATGTACATTCATTACAAATTAACTTTGTTTAGAGCAGACATTGTGATTTTATTGGACAAAATATAATAGTGTGTGTATATATACTGTGTATGTGTATGTGTGTGTATGTGTGTATATATATACACACAATAATATATACATATTATATAATTCTATATATATATATATAAATCTAGGAGTGATATTTGGTTTTAGACTTGATTTTTGTTAGGTTGAAAGGTAGATTCTAATGTGTTTCACCTTTCTAATATTCTAGTGAACTTTTATTATATGGGATCATTTAAGTTTGTTTTCTACATGAGAATGAAGTAGTATTCCTTACGGATAATCCTTTGCAATTACTCTTATTTTCTTGATTCTAAATGTACATTTAAAAACTTTTTAATGTTTCTGAAATTGGGATGCATCTTACTATTGATGTGCAAAGTCATTTAATTGAAGGGGTTTTAAAAATCAGTGGTCTCTTAGAATCACAGATGCGTAGTACAATTGACCCTTGAACAGCATAGGTTTGTACTGTGCAAGTCCACTTAAATGCAGAATTTTTTCAATAAATAGTTGCACTGTTTTTGTCTTGCAATTGGAAGTTGGGAATTTGGAAGGCCAGCTGTATGTATTTATTTACGCTATTTTATATAGGGACTTGAGCATCCACAGATTTTGATATACGAGGGGTGGTCCTGGAACCAGTCCCCTGTGGATACCAAGTATAGTTAAGTTATGGAAGGTCAAAATACATGAATTTTCGACTGTGAGGTGGTGGGTGCCTGTAACCCCATTGTTGTTCAAAGGTCAACGCTACGTATAGTAGTTCCCCCTTATCTGCAGTTTTACTTTCCACAGTTTCAATTACCTATGGTCAACTGCAGTCCGAAAATATTAAATAAAAAATTTCAGAAATAAACAATTCACAAATTTTAAATTGCATGCTGTTCTGAGTAGTATAATGAAATCTTAATCCTACCTGGAATGTTAATCATCTTTTTGTCTATCATATCCATGCTGTCTATGCTACCTGCCCTTTAGCCATCTCACTTATCAAATTGACTGTCATAGTATTGCAGTGCTTCGGTTCAGGTATCCCTTATTTTACTTAATGAAAGCCACAAAGGTAAGAGTAGAGATGCTGGCAATTCAGATATGCCGAAGAGAAGCCATGAAAGAGCTTCCTTTAAGTGAAAAGGTGAACATTTTCAACTTAAAAGAAAAAGATCATATGTGGAGGTTAAGACCTAGGGTAAGAACTAATCTACCTATGACACTGCCCAGTTTATAAATTAAACCCTATCATAGGTATGTATATATAGGAAAAAAACTTTATACATGTGGAGATTTCAGGCATCCATCGGGAGTCTGAGACCGTATCCCCTATGGATAATGGCAAGGGTGGGGTGGGTTTGGGGGGACTACTGTATCACCATTCAGAATTAAACTCTAGGCTTATTATTTGCAATGGCTCTGTGTTTTTTGGGTTAATTCAGAGACTACTATGAGATTTAAAAATTTTTAGTAATTAGTTGCAAATTTCTTCTTGAGACTAAGTTCATTTTGGGAGGTTTGTCCGGTTGATTCAATTGCTTAGAAAAGCAGTTCTCAGGTGACTGAGGAATGCAGTCCATAGGGGAATATAGGAAAGTCATCTAGGTGGGGCAAAGTAGGAGCTGCCAAGAAAACACCTTTGCAAATCTCCATGTCTATATTATGTTTGGACTTGAGTGAATTGTTGAATTTTCTTTAATCTAAAATATGTGTTTTAAACATGTCACTACATATACACTGCTTCATTTTTCTGATTAATCCAATAAGTTGATGTTAGAATGAGTGCTTATATTGTCTCCATTTTGTATAATTTTGGTCCCATATTCAATTAAGTCTGAACGAACCAGGATTGTTATTCCTCCATCATTCCCCTTTCTTTTTAGCAAATGGCAGTTATATGCTGTATGCGTAAACGTTCCTGGATAGAGGTATTAGGTGAAGTCTTAGAGGTTTAGTCTGTATTTTGCTTCTGACTTATTTTAGTAACTATGTGCAGTTGCTGAATTCTGTATCCTGATAACCAAAGAAGTGGCATTGCCAGGTGGAAATTGGAAATTTAGGCAATTATCTAGTTGATTTATGTCTAAGGAAATAAATTTGTCTTAAAAGGTCTGATAAAGAAAGAGGTCTTTTTGTTTGTTTGACTTAGCAAGTTAATTGCCTTTCACCTTACCAGTTCACAATAACTAGCCTTATTTTCCTCATCTTTTAAATGGGGACCGATAAAACAGTAATACTCAGAATTCTGTGAGATTTATTTAATTCACTCTTAATAGCATAAGATCATCATGTGAAAGGTACACTGAAAGTGTGAATTATTGATGCTTTCTCATTTTTTCTTGCTTTAAGGGACAGTGCCTGAAATAGCTACCTTCCCTACCCCACAAGTCAAGACTGAGAAACAATATATACCATGATCACAACTTTTGAGATAGAATTGAATTGCTGTCATTGAAAACAGCAGGACATCTTGCAACCGTTTAAGTAGCGTAATTTTTTTTTTTTTGGTCAAGAGAAATGCAATCATTTTTAGGTAACAGTGGCTCAAAATGTAATATATTGACTCACTGTTCAGAGTTTATCAGCTTTTTGTATTGAATAATTAGATTTGGAATT